GGCGGCTGGTGGATTTTGGGTATACCGATATCCCAATTATTAGACATGGGACCCACACCAAATTTATGAGTTTATAATGACATTAAATAAACAAGTTCTGCGCAAGCAGAATTTAAATTGAAGTTTGCGAAAAAAAGATAACCGAAACATCGAACATGGAACTGACGACACAGTACTGATGAATGGGATACAAATTTGAGATTATAATTCGGAATTAAGTATTTTACTGATATTTTTATTAGTGGATGCTACTTATCCACAAATCACATATAGCCTTATATAAATTACAATGAAAAAATTTTGACTGGAACTATACGTGCATTCACCACAACTTCGCCGCTTGCATTGTTTTCAAAATGACTGTCGTGCAAAGGGCGGGCTCTGTAGGTATTTTTTACCAACACTTGAGTTAAAACGAGGACTTAACGTTTAAACTTCAATATTTCGAAGGAATTTTGAATTTTAACATTGGACACAGAACTGACGGGTAAAAGTGAGTACAAAGATTATTAATTTTTTAAAAATTGCTATTATTCGATAAAATATGAGAAATGCAATATTTATTGTTTTATAGTTTGTAGTAAAATTGAAAATTTTAAGATAAATTGAATATATTTTAAAATAAAATCACTCAAATATTTGATTCAAGAGTTGTGACACGCCAAGGTACTGATGTTTTGAATATTCATTATGTTTTTCTAAAAACGTGCTTTTGAAAAAATACAATAAAATTGGGTGGACAAGATAAAAAAACCTGGATATTTTGTAATATACTAAAGTATTTACAAAAAATATTAAAATATATAAAATCTATTTACTGATGACATCAAGTTGTCCAACTTTTGTAGAATTATCCATATATAATATACATAAAACTATTATAATAATTAAAGTAAAAAAATTGGCAATGACCATTACATACTTATACAGGAATGGTTAATACCCTGTGTTGTCTTTCAAAGGTTCATGTCGACTTCCCCACAATGCAGCACAGATAAGAATCAAAAGAAACTGCAATATTCTTACATGGCTACTAAAATACCATCCCACAGCTGGGTATCTTAAGTCCCCAGTGTTTGCTAAATGCTGCGTGAACATGATAGGCTACACGATGTGGTGGTCTAAGAGTGAAGAAAAAATGTAAAAAAATAGCTGTTTTTATTTTAGTTGAAATATATTTCCTGTGTTATGAGAAAAAAACTTGAAACGATAAAAATCCAAAATCAAAGTTTGTACTTTTTTTCAAGTAGTTTTGGTGCTATTAAGCATTGACAAAAAATATTTAATTTCTAGATCTAAAAATTAAAGAGCTATTCCACGCGTAACGGATACTACAGTTGCCGTGTTTTTATTTACAAAATAATATTGTTCTATTATATTACCAATGTCAAATTTTTATAAATAGTTCTAAACTAAAGCTGTTTAACAAGGTTTTTATTTGGCAAAATTAGGTATCGTGATTGACTATTTAATTCCTTAAAAATGAATAATTTAAAGCGTAACGGGAGGGACTATTGCAAAGTCCCGACCGTTACGCTTTAAATTATTAGTTTTTAAGGAATTAAAGAGTCAACCACGATACCTAATTTTGCCAAATAAAAACCTTGTTAAATAGCTTTAGTTTAGAACTATTTATAAAAATTTGACATTGGTAATATAATAGAACAATATTATTTTGTAAATAAAAACACGGCAACTGTAGTATCCGGTACGCGTGGAATGGCTCTAAAATCAAAAATCATAAAAATGTACTTACTTTTTATTTTTTTTACCATTAATGATCATAATAAAAATTTCATTGTTGTTTGAAACATTTTTGTAGGGAACTCCATAACTTATAAGTACTACAAAATTACCACTTAATTTTTTGACCAATATAACATTTTGTTATGATTAGTAGGTAAAATATTAATAATATTATATTATCGATAAGAACTTGACTCAATGAAATGTATTGTAAATAATTTAATACTCTTTAATGACCATCATAAAAAAATAATGGCTACATACAATGCAGGAAAAAAAAAATTTTTCTGTATACATTTGTATACATATATGGGTAATTTTAAAATTCGATATACCTAGAAATTTCCTAAAATTAAAATTAAAAATTGTTCAGGGCGATCCCCTATAATGTCGCCCCCCTTTAACTTTTTTATTTTAAGGGTCCCAAAAAATTTAAAAGTGTGGTTATGTAGGTACTAAAAAATACATTTTTTCTATGTATAAAGAGAATTGGAAAATTGATCAGTATTCAGGGAAAAACAAAAAGTTTATTTTTTTTCAATGGATCACCCTATTTATGTATTTATTTTTCGATTCCTTGTAAAATTCTAAGCATATTTCATATAACATACCATATACCTAAATTCAACCGTTTCTGAAATATTTAAATTATTTTTAAGATAATAATTTGAAATAGTTTGTCTTCCTCTGTCTGAGTACGCCATTTTTACTTATTTAACAAGACATATTGACATAATATCACTATAGTAATTATTTTCAATAAATATTTTGGTATACTGAGGCTTCTTGATTTCTAACAATTTAAAAAAACATTTAATGATAACATTTCGAATGCGAATATTTCAGAAACTGTTGAGTTTAGGTATATGGTTTGTTATATGAATTATGCTCAGAATTTTACAAGGAATCGAAAACTAAATTCATATATAGGGTGATCCATTGAAAAAAAATAAACTTTTTGTTTTTTCCTGTATATTGATCAATTTTCCATTTTTTTATATACATAAAAAAAGTATTTTTTAGTACCTACATAACCATACTTTTAAATTTTTTGGGACACTTAAAATAAAAAAGTTAAAGGGGGGCGACATTATAGGGGATCACCCTGTACATTTTCCCAAAATTGTTATTTTAAAACTCAATTTTAAATAGAATTTTTTTTTTGGTCATGTCATTTTTACGAACACTCGAACAAGACATATTTATAATAAAATTTTAAAGATTTTTTTATTGAAGTATGTAATAAAATATAAGTAAATTCTTTGTAAAATAAATTCACTGATTTGTGTACCTAACATTTTGAGCATAATAAATTAAAAACATTAATTTAATACATTGCACGCCATCTATTATATAGTTACCGTATTAGAAAAAAACATTATTACAAATATAGGAAACTGTATTACTAAAACAACGAAATTTACTATATAATCTTCAATATCATATTTAATTTAAGACAAGCTATATAAGTTTGTGGTTTTTTTAAATTTATTTAGAGATACACTTTTTTAGAGTTTTCATTAAAATCCTCTAAAATAAAAACAATAAATGATCCAAAGAAATTATTATTTAATATTATAATTATTTTGTCTATTTACTTAATTGCTGTTTATTTTATTTTAAAAAATTTGCAGTTTCTTCGCCCTTTGCTAAATTCCTGATACATCTGCACTGAAAGAAATGTTTCTATAAACCAGTATTGTTAACTTTAAGACGAGTTTCATAAAGACAATAAGAGGATGGTTAGTTGGAATTATATTCGTTTATAAAGACATAAGCTGTGTAGTAACTGTTATAATTTTGATTTTATTCCAGTTGTTTAATACTGATCACTAAAGGAGAGATGCGATCTGACCGCGAGGAATAAGTGTCTGTGGCTGTATTGTTTTGTTTATTTGTTGTGATAATAGCTGGCAATTGTTAAGGGTAAGTTTTTGTAATAATTATACATCATGATACGAACATAAGCCTTAGTTTAATAAAGGTGTATACCTTGATCTTGGAACAGCACAATGAGCTGAGCACGTGGACGCAGATGCAGGTACACGAAAACTGTTTTTATTGATTCCCATTATAATAGTTTATTAATTTTACATTATATAATATACGTAAATGTACAGGGTAAACTACTTAAGGTGACCCATATACTTATATAATATATTAAATGGGTCACCTTACGTGGTTTACAAGGATATACTACTGGAGTCAAAAAAAAATAATATCAAAAATTGTAAACATTAACCAATCAAGAGCAACATTATTAAGAAGTGTGGACATGGGAACATTTGGTTTAAAATTGTTTATAATTTATATTCTAAATTAAACTATATTTTATTTATTTATATTAAAATATATTAACAATTTTAAATCATGATTTTAATCAAAAATCATGACAAAAATCATTAAAAAATAGCCCCCAAAACAAAAACAAACAATTTTACTAAAAATTAAAAGAATACATTTTCCAAATAATAATTTAAAAAAAATGCAGAGACACGCTGTGGGGTTTTTGTAAGTAGGATTATTTTTACGCTTGATTTATTTTCTCCCTTGGCATTCTTTGTAAGTTTCGACATGCAAAATTTTGATTTACTTCTGTATACAGTATACTATTATATACCTAATTATGTTTATTTATGTTTAATTTATTTCTTGTTGCTGTTTTTTATAATAAAAGTATAAAATTTATGAAAGTTGAACTTTTTATATAACGACCCTTATCCTGCATCAAGTGAGTATAATAATTCTTATGAAAAATGCATAATTTCGTCTATAAGACATATTTTATTAAAGTAACTAAATTGCTATTAGAGATAATAGTATGTCTAATTGTTACAAGATGTTTAAACCAAAAATCATTCACTTTTTTGTTGAATCAAGGCAAAAATGGAATAGGATGTCTTCACAATCTAAAAATATATTTTTTAGACCAATAATTTATAAAAAAATCTTTCTTACAGCCCCAAAAGTTGAAAGAGTCATAGGTCCAAAATTTCCAATGGTGAAATAAATCGGTTTCTTCATTATTAGAAGAGTGAAGATTAAACTATCCTTGTATTTTTTACTCATTGAAATCCAATTCGATCTCCAAATGTACACCGACAATTCATCGGCCTAAAATATATATTTTAAATAATTTTTTAGTGTGTATTGTGTATACTACTTTTAAGGTGACTTCATTTCCAAACCAACAGAAAAGAAAAACCTGGATTCCCATGGATATTAAGTAAAATGCCTCTGCGAAAAATTCATCACTAAAGAGAGGTTTCTAAAAAAAAAAATTAAATATTGTTTGTGGTTTTTGTATGATTTTTCTACCGATGACACCAGATATAGACAGGTACAAAGAATGAACAAAGTCGCCATTGCTTGAAAGAGTATGAGGTAGCGTTGTATGTTTTCTATTTCCTTACAAATCCTAAAACATGTGTTTTATTTGGCGTACAATGGGGTAGTTAAATTTTTTCTGACATATACTTTTTATGGTTTTATTCAAGGCGTTTTGTAATTTTAAACATTTCTGTGAAATCGGAATTTCAATTGAGTTTACCGTTTTCGAGATATTTACAAAAAAAATCTCCTAATTACGTCACTAGGCTATTGACAACGTTGCCAGCTTTTTCTATGGTTGCCAGTGTGTTTAGTTTAAAATTCTTACGATAGATGGCGCCACGTTATAATATTTTAGTTTTAAAACCACTTGATCTATAATTTTAGTTGAGAAGAAGAAGAATTGATTTTTTGACGTTTCTTTTTTTCGGGTTAGGTATGTTTTTTTTAAATTTAGATTATTGAAAATCAATGTTATTGTTTTGTTATTTGTAATTGATATTAGATAAGTGATTTATTAATAACGGACTCCAAAGCAGAGGAATCTTGTGGAATGGTTGGTTACATTGAACATTGGAGCTTTTAAACAAATAAAGTAAGTACCTATAATTATAATCATATTTTGTCGTAAATGCATTTCATTAGTATAATGCCTAGTTCTTTATATTCTTTTAGATATATCTTGGACTCTAAAATATCAAACAGTAATATGATACCTCGTAATAAGGAAGATAGGTACTTAATGAATTTGGTGACCATCTTTCACTCAACTGACAGTGACAGTATTTGTACATAACCTCTTCGGGTATTTTCTGACATAACTGAATGAAATCATTAACAAGACAACTTGACAACAGGGTAATTTTCAACCAATAAAAATCTTAGAATGTTGGTCACATGGCGAGGTTTGTGACGTCATAAAAATTTATATTTTTTGTAAATATCTTGAAAACGGTAAACTCAATTGAAATTACGATTTCACAGAAATGTTTAAAATTACAAAACGCCTTGAATAAAACCATAAAAAGTATAGGTCAGAAAAAATTTAACTACCCCATTACACAGGGTTTCAGACTTACCCCAACATTTTCTGTACTTGTTTGCACATTGCCTTCATCTCTTTCTCCATGATTATATGTTCTTCAGAAGTCAAATCTTGTAAATGAATACGCCTCTGCAACTTTCTTTGAGTAATTTTCAAAAAGGCTTGTTGAAGCAAAGTGAAGTGATAGGCCATGAAATTCATGAGGTTGATTATTAACGAATCCAGCCCTATGATATTTTGAACTCTTGAGAACATGGTGGTACCCTGAAATAGTAGAGCTACCAAATACATTTTGGGGGTGTCATAATTGAAGGGGAATTCTGGATTATACGGGAGTGGATCAGGTTCAAATTTCTCATTGGTGATGAGGACTTTTAGAGTCGATAAGATAGGAGGTGCAAACGAAAGAAGGATCACCAAGTAGCTAAAGCCCAAGTAGGTTCCCACTGTTTTAACACCGAAAATTTTGTAGCGGTAAAACATATCCTCCGGGTTGAAATCTTCACATCTCTCGTACTTTAACTGATCTTCCTCAAGTCTTCTTATAATCCCTCTCAGTTTATCTCTGTTGACATACCAAAACACAACTTTTCCTGAGGCCAACAAATCAGTCAAACCAAAACTCAAGTTTTTCATGAAACCGTTCAAGTCGTGGCTGTGGTTATAAAACAAACTTATAAACTCACTTATCACGAAGATGCAGTATACTGATATGAGTTCAGTAAAGGCATATAACTTGTAAACAAACTGAACATACCAGTTTTTACTGTCGGGTAACCATAACCCGGCAATTTTTAAAATCCACCTATTGAAAAAGAAGAAGTCGTTTTTACTTTGGAAACCGTTGTTTTTGAACATGTTTTGCAACATGCTGTTACCAAAACAGAATGTAACCGACTTAATATTGGGGTTGGATTTATATCAGGAAATACTGTTATTATGGGTTATATATATAATTATCTATATTTGATTTATAACCAATCAGTTAAATATGTAAATTGAGGGAAGTAACAGATGTCTTTTTGCATGTAATTATAATGAATATTTATTAAAAAATATACGGGGTCGCCGAATTTCATCACTTGAGGGGAGATATTACATATTAGAGATATTACACAGTAAAAAATTTTCGTTACACTACTAGTGCACATTGTATCACAATTAAAGTTAAATTACACCAATAGTGGCAAAATAGACTGAAAAAACTGGTAATACCCGAAATGCGTTTTAAAATGTTTGGTTGGTACCTATCTACCTACGCAATGCATTTCCGAAGATACCGCGTTGTGGAAGTGTGGCATTTTTGTTCAGTTAGATTTTAATTACGGTAAATCCATAACGGGACATTCTTATTTTTTGGTAAGTATTTTACTTCCTTTTTCTTTAAGCCTTAATACTCAATAAATACCAATAAGTTAAAAGGATGTCCATAGCCGACCTATATTATATATTAATAATTTACGGCAGTAGGTCGGGTACTTGTAAAATTAATAATATAAATACATACACACTTGATTTACTTTTTATTTTCAAGCGTAATGGTTGTTATATTAACCTATACCTACATTTTTCTTAATATTATGGAAAATTTGTATACGTGTGGTAAATCCCCGACATACAGCCGCCTGACGCCTCTCTACCAATGGGATCACCCATTTTTTATAACAGAAAAATGGATTACTGATGAATTCTCAAGATAATTCATTGCTTACAAGTTGACAGCCAGTAAAACATTGCATTGATCTAAAACTTTTACGTTTTAAGGAACCATTTTGCTTAAGCCAGCCATACGCCTCAAATATAAAATTATATTTTAAAAGGCACCGATTTTGATAATTGTCATAGATTTTTGTTCCAAATAAATGTTTCTCTCTATTTACCTTTTCGCCTCAAATATAAAATTATATTTTAAAAGGCACCGATTTTGATAATTGTCATAGATTTTTGTTCCAAATAAATGTTTCTCTCTATTTACCTTTTCGTTTTATTCACTACCACCAATAGGTTTTACTCAAATAATAGTGTTAATTTACACTAGAAGTTTGCACTAAAAGAGTAAAAGTACCTTTCTAAAATTAGAAATTTTCCAAAGTAGTGTTAATTACACTGAACAAAAGTGGGATTTTACCCAGAAGTACACGATTTTAGGTAAATTAACACTTTTTAATACAGTGTAAAATTACTTTATCCTCAGTGCTATAGTGTTAAATCATACTTGCTTACGTGGGGAAAATTACACTACAAAGTAACTCTAATTGTAGTGTTATAAACAACACTATTTAGTGTTGCTTAGACTTGATTTTTTTTTACTGTGAAAATAGTTTTTTATGCTAAAATATGGTTTCTTGTCACTAATAATTTTTTATCAAGAGAGTTGACTTTTTGCGCTGTTGAATCGCCCCTTAAATTTTTTTGTGAATTATTAATGACTATGCCACTTTTAATTTTTGCCAGTAATTTATATTATTTATTTATTATATTCAACCCGTGGTTTGACCTAGGGTGCAGTCTGTTTTTAAAAATCAATACAGGCTTATTTAAAAAACTCAAAACCAAATGTGCACCACCTTAGAATACGAAACAAACTTCCAATTGATTTATATGTATCGTTTTTATTTAATATGAAGTATGGCAACATGTTGCAACTATTTTAAATATTCAATTGTTCGTGGTTCATATTTTAAGGTAAGTAATTTGGTAAAATACTAACTATTAAATCATTAGGCCGTTATTTAATTTTTAAATACAAAATATATGAATTATAATTTAAAAAGTTAAAAAAATGTATTTAAATTATAAAGTAAGTAACTAAAGTAAATTTCTTTATTTTTTTTTTAATTAAATGTAGGTAATAGTTTTTTTAATTAGAACATATTATATTTAATACAGTATTTTTTATTAATGTATTAAAAATTACATTAAACATAAAATAATGCATTTAAAAATATAACAAGGTAAGTAGAGATCAGTGGCGGCCCGTGACATTTCATTTTGGTGAGGCAGAGGCAGGGTTTCGCCCTCATTTAAAGGCGAAGAAATTTTTTTAAACCCAACTTAATCTTAAACTTTACAATTTTTCACCCTAATATCTATAATGACTAAGTTCACATAAATCACCAAGTTCAATTAACTAAACCCACTTACAAAAAAATCATAAAATAAAAATACTCATAGAAAAAGAATAAACAAAATATTGCGTAAATAACCACAGCTTCGTTCTTTAAACAGTTCAGAATTTTATAACCAAAACAAACCTAAAGAAGGAATCTGTATTTATTTTATTGGTTACTGTGATGGCTACAAGATGGCGATAGTGTTAAAATATGTTTATTTTAGAATAGAAATATAATTTCGATTAAATCGATTTGTTATAAGAAAAATAATACCATTTATTATTGAATTTTGAAAAACGTGTGAAGTATAATTTATCTAAAATTCCGCAACAGTGTTGCCACAACACCTGCTTATTTCCTTGGATGTAGGCGTGCCTGCCTCGCGTATGCTAATACGAGAGAAGGAGACAACTATGATATCGCATTGTAATAGAACGAGACAACAAGGCTAACGCCAATCGTGAGTCTAAATTAGTTCAGGCGTGCTTCTGAGCCAATCATCTAGCTATAAATATTAGTTTAAATTGCGGTCGTTTCAAATTCAAATAATTTAAATGTTGCTGGGTAGTCCACGTATAAAATCAATCAATTTTATTGACTATTTCACAATTCATGTAATCCAAATATTAAAAATTTATAGTATATTATAGAAAGTAAAATATTTAAATTATACTTAATTTTTTATTTCTCTATGATGAAGCACTGCCTCCCCTGACAGGCCGCCACTGGTAAAGATTAAACATAAATATAAATTATAACAAAAGCAGGTAAGCAAACAATAAATACAAATATAAAAAGTATAACACATATTAAACAGGTGAATAAAAATAATTTAAAGTTTAAACACGTTTTTATCTCAAGAAAAAAATATTAAATAATTTTTAACCATTAAAAAATAACAATAATTTACCATATCGAAATCGAAATATGAATTTTCAATTGTTTTTTTTTTCAATTTTCGGAGGTGTTTTGACGTTTTTGAGTATAGCTTGAAATCTAATTGATCGATTTGGTCAAAAATGCCCTTAAATTGAAGGTATTTGAGCCCTCTAAAACTTTCTTTTACATACTTTTGATATCAGTTAAGAATTTTGACGCTAAGGATTTTAATGAATTAAAAAGGGTTTAATGTCAAAAATTAAGGTTGAAAATTTACATATCGTCCTGGGAAAGGTTTCGAATTTTTTTTCGTAAAGCTGACATTTTTACAAAAAAAACAAGCTAATGTTGATAAAAATATATTTACATGGAAAAATGGCGAAGTTATGGATTTTTTAGTGGAAGACCAAAATTCAGCTTTTTGACGATTTTTAGTTTATTTTGTAATATGTTTATTCTTTAATGAAAACCTAAATAAAGTGCATGATTGAAAATTTTTTAGTTTTTTACGTACTTTTTTTACCGAACATTATTCAAAACACCTCAGAAAATTAAGAAAAAAACAATTGAAAATTCAAAAGCTTCCATAAAAAAAATTTAAGTGTGATTTTCGCGTTTATTGAGCCAAATTACACAAGAAAATCATAGTTAGACATGGTGGGCAAAATGGCTGTAACTAGTGTAATTAATCCCCTTAAACAAGAAATCAAAAATTGCTTTATCTCCATGGTAGGGGTTGAAAAATTCATAATTTGGAGATTCGCTTTTTGTCCTATTGAAAATTTTATTATTATTTTTGGGGTGTGCAAACAAATGTTATTATTTTTAGCACTCGGATTTTTTTAAACTTTTAAATGCCTAAAAGTTCTGTCTCTAGGTAATTTTGAAGTAATAATTTAATTAATAATTTTATTTAAGATAATAACTTATTTAAATTATCTCCTTAATAACTATCCAATTACTTATTTTTCTATAAAAAGTTTATAGAACGTCACCACTAAATACTTTTATTAGTTCTTGTAAGAAAAGTATAGCGAAATGTTTAACCTTATACATTGTTTAAAATTGCTAACTTTTACAGTTCTTGAGTTTTTTAGAAGGGGCCAGAAAGAAGATTGTATGTACAGTTAAGGAAAATAGTTATGTCCATTTGAATGCTCCATTGTAATTTTACCATAAATTTGGTTTGGCTGAAAAAGTAGGAAAATCTGGAAAATGTCTATAAATCAATTGAGCATTCAAATGGACATTACTATTTTTCTTAACTGTACCTTATAATACTTAATCATACACTTAAATTATTTGTTTTATTTTAGCTAAACTGTTAATACAACTTATTGAGCAAATACTTAACCTATTGCAAACTCCCAGTTTAAAGCTATATCTCTGTATTATAATACCAGAAATTTTTTTAAATATAGAATATGGAGTCTCTATCGTTTGTGCCACGTGTTTTGTTTTCGTAAGTTTTAAATTCTCTTTTAAAACAATTACTTACGAATACTTTGTATTATTTTTAGCCTTTTTCCGTTCAAACTTTCTATTTACTGTGCAAATCCGAAATGTTCTATTTTCTTAAGTTATTAAAAAAAATGGATTTACATTCTGTACAACTTTACAAAACTCCTACATTTATAAAATTTCGACTATTAATATGTATGATGTTCGTCCTGGGTGTTTTTGGAATACAGTTGATGTATCTATGGAGGAATGATATATTTTTTTTCACACAAATTGTTCAAAATTGGATACTTTCCACATTTACTTATTACTTAATAACGAGTTATGTTTTGTTCTTCGTTATAATCGGTCCACTGTATTATACGGGAATTATATTTTTTCTTTTCATACAACTGGAAAAAATACAAAAACTATTGA